GGAGGATGGAGGAACACGGAGGAACATGGAGGAAGATGCAGGCGGATGGAGGGGGATGGAGGGAGATGGGGGATGGAGGATGGGAGATTGAGGAGGAGGACGGATGAAAGGATGGAAGGATGGAAGAGGATTGACCACGACGGATGAGGACGTGGGGGATAAAGGAGGATAGAGGATGAGGAGGAGGATGGAAGATGGCGGAGGATGGAGAATGGAGGAAAATGGATGAAGGGGAGGAGATTGGACTGTGACCCCTCCACGGTGGGAGGATGGAGGGTGGAGGAGGCTTGATGATGAGAATGGAAAACCATGGATGAAGATGGAGGAGGATGAAAAGTGATCCATCCCCCACGTTGGAGGATGAAGAAGGATGAAGGAGGATGAAGGGGGGATCCCCCCCTTGTTCCCGCCCATCCTCCTTATGCCTCCCCACTTCTTCCTCCTGATCATCATAGTTCTCCTCCATCCTCATCACTGTTCCTCCCCGCTGTTCCTCCTCCTGCTTCACCTTATCATCCGCTTCCTCGTCAGACGCCATCTCCTCCCGCCCACCCTCCTCCTCCTGCCACGTCGGGTGACGGGGGAGAAGCTGAATAAGAGAGGGGAGGAGGAAGGTAAATGCAGAGGAGCAAGAGGAGGATGGAGATAGACGACAGAGGAGGGGGCAGGGGGGAGGGGGGGCTTGAAAGGGGACGAGAAGGAGGAGAAAGAGAAGGGACATGGGCCACCAGGATGGGAAGGAGGAGAAAGAGGGGGGTGGAGGATGAACGAGGGACGAGGGCCGAGGGTGGACGTGGCAGGCGGGAGAGGACGAGGATGAGGAAGAGGAGCGAGAAGGGGCGAAGAGTTACGACGACGATTGACTCCCCAACCCCCACCCATCCCACCCCCCCACTCCCTTCCTGCTCCTACCCACTCCTCGTCCTCCTCCTCCTCCTCCTCCTCCTCCTTCTCCCCCTCCTAATTATCACTATTCTCACCACCAGCACCACCACAACCACCACCACCACCACCACCACCACCATCACCACCACCACCACCACCACCATCATCATCATCATCATCATCATCATCATCATCATCATCATCATCATCATCATCATCATCATCATAAGGATCGAACGTAGCATCATCATCGGCATCATCATCACCAGAGTCATTATCGTCATCGTCGTCATCATCGCCATTATGAGCGTCATCATCAGTATCATCATAACCGTCAACAGCATGATCATCATCATCAGCATCATCATTACCGTCATCATCATCACCATCCTCATCAGCAGCAGCATCATCATCAACATCAGCATCATCACCATCATCATGGTTCGTCTTACCAATGCCCTGTGCGTTTTTTAATCATTCTCCACGCTGGGCTAATACGTTTTTAAGCGTTTGTAGACCCGTCGCTGTGGATCATCATTTTTGTTAACGTGTTTTGCTTTCTGGTCGAAGGCTTTTCCTTGCCTTCCCTGCTGCCCTCGTCCCGCTCGTTTCTGCCGCCGTTCCCTCCTAGAGCCACAAGCGTTCAAAAAAACGCTCTAACACCGGTCTAAAACGGGCCCGACACAGGCCCAGAGGCCCGATGGCCCCAGGAGGGACAATCGGCCATTGGGCCCCCCAGACTGCACGCCGGGAGAAGGACTGCACGTCAGGAGAAGAAACTGAGGACGTCATAGAAACAGCAAATTAACCATGCAACCAACTGATCTGAAAACGCGGAGATCTATATATAAGATATTGTTTAATGAAAAAACGCAAAAAGATGAATCATTGCTTTAGCGTTTTCAGTTTCTTTGAAACCTAAAAACCTTCAAACAAATAACTGATGACAAAACGCCGTCATGGGCACGGCACATTTAAAAAGAATCAAGGTCATCCTCATCATCATCATCATCATCATCATCATCAGCAGCAGCAGCAGCAGCAGCCGCAGCATCAGCATCTTCGTCACAAGCACCATCGCCTTGTATCGTCATCACCGTCATCATTCGAATCATCAGAACCATAAGCCTGATCACCATCCTCTTCAAGCGCATCCCCCTCCTCAACCCGTTCGGCCCGCCCCCGTCCCAGCCCGCCTCCCCACCCCAAACCCTGAACCCCTAAACAATTAACATCTTTTGGGGAAGACTCTTCTACTTCTGCTGACTCCCGCTGGCCTCCCGCGGGCTCCCGCCGGCGGCGTGGCCCTCGTCCTTCTTCCGCCGCCTTCCGACGAGGAAGAGATGCCGACTCCTCCGTTCCTCGAAGGCGAGGCCTTGTCTAAATCGCTCCAGATGCCGCCTGACCTGGCCCCGCGCTCGGCGCCGGCACGTGTGTTTCCAAGACCGCACACGGCGACGGTGCAGCGGGAACCTGCCCGGACCGACAGCGAGGCCGAGAGGGGGGCGTCCAAGAGGGGGGGCGCAAATCATGGCCAGCGGCATGTGCGCGGCCCAGGGGGGGGGGCCAGGGACGTAATGAAAATAAGAAGAGGCGCCATGAAATCTGGGAAATATCATGGCCCACGCCATGATATCCACCCCCCCCAGTCATCACCCCCCTCTTGGCCGCCCCCAGACCGACAGCGAGGCCGAGACCGAGCCGGGGTCGGATCGACCGAGAGCGGCCGAAGAGGGCGCAACGACGCAGCGACGGCACGACAGCCCAGGCCGCGTAACTTCACGCCTCGTGCCCCGCGATGCGCGACGCGCGAGTTGTCTTCGCGCCCTCGCCCCCTCGGCCCGCCCCCCTGGAGAAGGGCAACAGTTCTAGCCAAGACCGCGACGTGCGAAGCGTGGTTATCTTCGCGCCCCTAGGGCGACCTGCAGTCGTCGTGCTTCCACAAGGGGGCGCTGAAGAAGGAACTAGGGGGCTTTTCTGGCCACGGCGAGCCTCGGCCACGAAACGATTCCCCGACGTAGACCTAGCCCTAAGGAACGGCCTGAGAACCAGAGCACATCCTGGGCTCACAGTGGTCTCAATTTCAAAGTCCTGACTGCAGGATCGAAGATGGACAGAGCACCCTTTCGCAAAACGCCCTTCAGTGAAAGCTGCCAGGGGCGCTCCAAGTGCGCACGGCGCCTCATTCCAGGCGGATCCAAGCAGGGTAGAACATCGGCGTACGAAAACCACCGAATGCGTCGAGCGAAACGCACGTCGATTAGCGACACCGGCTGGGGACTGCACCGATGCACTCGCATGCCAATGTCGAGTGAACCCGTACAGGCTTCCTTTGTCGACTTGTCTGCAGGGGCGTTATCGCAGCGCCCGATGGGACAACCGAGCTGGCCGAACCGAGCCTACGGATCGCAGCCGCACCGACCGAGCCGTGGACGCCCTCCATGTTCGGGGCCCCCGCGCTCGGGCTGCCCCCAGGACGAGGAGGCAGGGGGTCGGTCGCGGCTCGAAGGAGAGGCTGGTGCAGCCAGCCTCGGCACCCCCTCGCCCAGTCCCCTACGCCGACGGGACCAGCGTCGTCGTCATCGTCATCGCCGTCGCCGTCACCTCCGTCGCCGTCATCATCATCGTCTTCGTCGCCGTGGTCGCCGTCGTCTTCGTCGCCGTCGCCGTCGCCGTCGCCGTCGTCTCCCCCCTCCTCGACAGCGCCGGCGGGCCTTGCTGGGCCCCTGGCGGCGCGCCAATGATCCGGGGCGGGCCGGCCTGATGGACGAGCCAGGGGGCCCGAAGGCAGACGGCAGAGCACAGCAGCGACAGGGGGCGGCGGTGCCGAAGGAGCAGCAGGAGGGAGGGATCCCGAGGAGCGTCTGGGAGGCAGGCGGAGTAGCAGCGACAGAAAACCGGGTGCGGGGAGGAGATGGCGCAGAGGAGGCGGGGTAGGAGCATGAGGGGGGGAGGGGTGCAGAGAAGTGGGTGGGAGGAAGACGGAGGCAATGATAGAGGCGAGGGCTGGCAGGAGAGGGCGTCGAAAGATCAGGAAGGGAAATCCATAATCTTAGGATCGATGTCTTACACACACACACACACATGCGATAAATTGCACGTCTCACATCTGAAGTCACGCGCTAATAAGTGAGTTAACTACGACGAAGGCCTTCACGATGATCTCGCCTGAAGGAAAGCCTCAAGCAGAGTAACTTGGGGCCCGTAGGAAAGGGAGGGTTAGGAGCCCCGTCGGCGCAAACACACATGTGACGACTGCCGCCGTACCTCTTACCCACAGCTGTGATCGAAAGCAGTGAATTGCCCAGCAACGCCGCACCTGTAACCCAAGACCGTGGTCAGAGGTCCCCGTCGGCACAAAAATGCCACCGTACCTGTGCCAACATAACGGTAAGAGGTCCCCAACGGCAGAAAAATACCCGTGACGAACACCAGCTGTGGTGACAGGTCCCCATCGGTGCAAAATTACAGGTGAAGAGCACCACCGTACGCGTGAACCAACATTGCGGTAGGAGTTCCCCGCTGGCGCAAAAATACCTGTGACGAGCACCAACTGCGGTGAGAGGTCCCCGTCGGCACAAAAAATCCGCCGACCCTGTCGGCGTGTGGACCCCCTGTCGGCGTGCACTCAGTCGACGCATCCGTTGTCCTCTTTCCCTGCGTCTCCGTCGTCCCCTTTCCCTGCACCCTCCTCTTCAAGCCTGCCAGCGAGAGAAAACCGAAGCAAGTCGCACTTAAGTCGAAGGGAAGCCCCTTCCCGTTGATCCCTCCCCCGCCGAGGGGGGGGGTCCCAGGGGGGTCCCGGGGGGGGTCCCGGGGGGGGGTCCCGGGTGGATCCCGGGGGGGAAGGCTCAGATACGCATCCGCCCCTGGGCGCCCTGTAGCCCAAAAAAGCGCCAAGACGCGCCAAGAGGGGCCCAAGCAGGCCCAAGAAGAGGGCCACGAACCGACATTTCGAGCTTCCTGCCCCAAGAAGCACCCGGAAGGCCCAAAGAGCCCCTCAAGGGGCCCGAAGAGGCCCCCAAGAGACCCCCAAGAGACCCAACACAGGCCCCAACGGGCCCCAAAACATCCAAGAGGCCTTTCAACCACAACCCCAGCACGGTGGTGGGAACGGCTGCAGGCTACAAGGCTCCCTGTCTGTCTCTGCTACGACTCCCTCGGCACACGTGGAGAACATCTCCTTCGCCTTCTCCTGCTCCCTTCCACCTTAATCCACCTCCTCCTCCTCCTCCTCCTCCTCCTCCTCCTCCTCCTCCTCCTCCTCCTCCTCCTCCTCCTCCTCCTCCTCCTCATATTCGTCGTCGTCGTCTTCAGGGTCGGCGGCATCGGCCGTATGGCCGTAGCAATATTTGTGATGAGCACAACCGTACTTGTGAGCCAACATTAGAATAGGAGGTCCCCGTCGATGCTAGAATACCTATGAGAAGCACCAACGGTGATGAGAGGCCGTTGGCACAAGAATGCCTGTGGTGAGCACCATCGCACCTGCACGCAAGCAACACGGTAGGAGGTCCCCGTCGGCGCAAGACTATGACCAGCACCAACTGTGGTGAGAGGTCCCGCCGGCACAAAATACTCTTGGATGAGCACCGCCGCACCTGTGAACCAACACAGCGGTGGGAGGTCGGCGTCGGCACAAGAATACCTGTGACAAGCACCACCGGGCCTGTGAAACAAAATAACGGCAAGAGGTCCCCATCGGCACAAGAAACACTCGTGACGAGCACCATCGCACCTGTGAAGCAGAATAGCGGCTAGTGGTCCCCGTCGGCACAGTAATACCTGTGGCGAGCCCCACCCTACCTGCGATCCAGTGCTGTGGTCCTGACATCTGCCACCCACAACAGCAACCGCCGGTCCGCCTCCTTCCGTCGTACTTCGCCAGAAGGCTTGCCCAGGCGTCTGTGGAGAGCGTCCTTGGGGCAGGCACGAGGCCGTCCCGGAACGCCTCTCCTTGACACTCCCACACCACGTGGTCCGTCTTTGGCACTGCGCCTCACCTGCCGCTTCGAGCGGGGCCAAGTGAAAGACCCTTCTAAAATCACGCACACATAGAAACACAGACACACACACACACAAACACACAGACCGGCTACAGCGGGCGAAAGCGGGGCACACACACACACACACACACATACACCCAAACAAACGTGCAGAACACGTCTGGCGCCGCCCACGACTGCCGGAAGGGGGGATCCAGGTTTGCCCCACCTACGTGCGGCATGCATCTAAGCCTCCTGCTTGTTGACAGCGTCTCCTTTCCTTGATGAGCATTCTGCGTATGGCGCGACGGGTAAACGCATTCAGCAGCGGCATGAAAAGAACAACGCCCCTTAGAACGCATTGGAAAACTCCTCCTGGTGTCTCACTTCCGCAAGGTTACACACATCGTCAGCATAAGCTGTTTCACTTGACAAATAGACTGTCCACAAGAGCTACTGCAACGATTGAGACTTCAAAGGAGTCCCAAAGGACACCAAAATCCTGAATTGTCCTGTCGGTATTATCGTTCTCCTCCTCCTCCTCCTCCTCCTCCTCCTCCTCCTCCTCCTCCTCCTCCTCATCATCATCATCATCATCATCATCATCATCATCATCATCATCATCGTCCTCCGTCTCCTCTCATTCCCTTCTGCCCTCTCTCCCATGGTGTACCCCTCCCTTTGGCTAGGCTTCCCTCCTCTCCCTCTCCCCTCCCTCCTTCTCCCTCCCTCCCATCTCTTCGGTAACCAGCCCTCTATCATTGGTGTGTGTGTGTCTCTCTCTCTCTCTCGCCCTTTCCCTCTCCCTCCAACTCCTTCCTCTCTCTCTCTCTCTCTCTCTCTCTTCTCTCTCTTCTCTCTCTCTCTCTCCTCTCTCTCTCTCTCTCTCTCTCTCTCTCTCTCTCTCTCTTCTCTCTCTCTCTTCTCTCTCTCTCTCTCTCTCTCTCTCTCTCTCTCTCTTCTCTCTCTCTCTCTCTCTCTCTCTCTCTCTCTCTCTCTCTCTCTCTCTCTCTCTCTCTCTCTCTCTCTCTCTCTCTCTCTCTCTCTTTATATATATATATACATACATACATACATATGCTAGCCCCCCCCGGGGACCCCATCTTAATAGGGAAAAGCAGAAGACATAGCGAGAAAGAGAGAGAGAGAGAGAGAGATGGGACAAACATCTTTTTCATTCTGAAGCCGAAGAGACACATTGCACACTCCCCAAGTGCATATATGATCGCACTGGCAGCCCTCTGCATGGACTGCCCGCGGCGCACCTCGCGCGAATCGAAAAACCCAGGGCCCCCGAATAGCTCCCGTAGGAGGACATGTTCGCAAGTAGGAAGGATACGGAAATGCGCGGGAGCTGCGTTCTCTCAGGAAACCTGGAGCAGAACGCCTGCAGATCGCTCAGCGAGCCGATCGGCCGCTCCGAATGGAATGGAGGGGGCGAGAAGGCGCGACAGGACGGCATTCGACAACAAGAAACGACCACTCATCGCTAGTGGGGCTGATTCGGTAATCCGAGGAAATAAATCAGATACGCTTGCTCCGTGGCTACGAGCGAGCGGGGCGAGGCGGGCCAACGCAGAGCTCGATTAAGAGCGAACGGATCCAGGATAACAACGCGAATGGCAGGGCTGCGCTATCTGCGCGCATGGATGAGGAGCACGCTATCTCCCCACAGATCGGACACCCCAGCCGAGCGCAGAGAAATATCGGTATGGCATCGGTAAGCCCGCGTGAGCGCCCTGCAACGGCGCGAGCCGACGGCGGCGGCGCGGCCTGCGGCTCCCTCACGCGCCCCCGTCGGTCGCGACGCCGTCTCAATCGAAATCCTCGAGCGCGGCGCCGCTCGCCTCGCTGTCGCCCTCTGGGACGTCGATGGACAGCTCGCTCAGATCAGTGTCCTCTCAAGCAGTTCCAAGAGCGGTTAGAGCGGTGGAGTCGCCGCCTGTTTAGTGAAGCGCCAACTCCTAGAATAACGTGTCTCGGAAGCATTTAGAGTTTCCGAGCAATGTAAAACTTGCAAAACGGATCCAAATCCAAACCCTGAAAGCATAGATCCTCAGAAAAATGGCCTCTGTCATGGTAACATGTTCCCATTGCACGATCTGATCCTCGGGGACGTCGGTTGAGATCCTCAGGCGTACGACCACATCTACCTCCACGCCCCCAGGTCCAATGGCAGGTCCAATCACATCGGTCGGTTCATCAAGAGAGCGCTTCTTGACTAGGACAACCCCATCTCGGTGGCGAAGTTCACGGCCGGCGACGTCCGGGCGGCCATCAGGAACCTTCGCGAGGGCGAGATCTGCGCGGAGACCACTGGCGCCTGCACCAGGTCGGCTGCGGCGTCGCCGCGTGGGTTTTCGGCCTCGCGTCCAGGCCGGAGCTCAATGGCCGCGCGGGCCGAGTGCTGGGCGTCCAGCGGAACAGACTGGTGCTGCAGCTCGACGGCCAGAGGGTCGCCGTCAGGGAGGAGAACCTGCGCGTGGTCGACGAGGCTATCGAGTTGTTCGCGCGGCCTCAGATCAGGATGCACCCTGATCAGGGCGGTGACTGTTCTTCCTGGGCGCTGTGCGCGTGGCTCCGCACGTGCGCGACAGCCTAGGAGCTCGGCGCCGCCGTGTGCAATCACATTAATTAACGCGCGGCCAGGGCCTGCAGTGCCGCCCGTTTCAAGCGCCATAGTGCGCGCACGCTCCTCCTGCTAATCCCACCGTGCTCGCCGGGCGGGCGCAAGCACCGGGCGCGCATCGGCAATGATTCTTAATGTTCAATGTTGTTCTTCTCATGATTGAAAACAGATGAGCTTCTCTGCCTCTTCTCACATGCTGTTGAATTGATCATTCGTCTCGGGCGCTCTGTAATCCCGTGGCGCCGTCAATGGGTTGGGCGCGCGCCGTGCTGCGCCGTACTTCTGACACGTCTGCCATACTTCGCGTTGGCACGCTATGGCATGCTCTTCCACGCTACGCTGGGCTTTGCTATACGGAGTGCTGTGCTACGCCGTGTAGGGCGGACCACGTGCTTGTCTTATGCGACTTCGTCACGATGCCCGTCGTCAAATACTCCCCTTCGCACACGTGCGAAAGGAGCCGCATAGGTGCCCCCTGGTGCTTCGCGTGGCCTCCTGGAGCTTCCTGGGGCCTCATCCAATGGAAAACAACAAGTAAACCATACAATGGAAAACAATAAGAAAACCTTCCAATGGAAAACAATCAGAAAACCTTACAATGGAAAACCATAACAAAACCTCACAATTGAAAACGATAAGAAAACATTACAATGGAAAACAGTCAGAAAACCTTACACTTGAAAACAATAAGAAAACCTCACACTGGAAAACAATAAGAAAACTTCACAATGGAAAACAATAAGAAAACCTTACAATGGAAAACAATAAGGAAAACTTTACACTTCAAAACAACCAGAAAAACTTACAATGGAAAACAGTCAGAAAGCCTTACAAAGGAAAACAATAAGAAAATCTTACAATGGAAAACAAGAAAAAAAAACCTTACAATGGAAAACAAAAAGAAGACTTCACAATAGAAAACAATAAGAAAACCTTACAGTGGAAAACAGTAAGAAAACCTTACAATGGAAAACAGTAGGAAAACCTGACAATGGAAAACAATAAGAATACGTCTTGGGTACACCAAACGCTGGCAGGGACTGAAAAAAAAACACGCTGGCAGGGACTGAAAAAAAATAAAAAACAAAGGTTTCGGGCGGAACTGGACGGGAAATGAAATGCATACCGGGCCCCCTCCGCCGAGATCCGCCCGAAACCTTTGATTTTTGGTTTGTTCAATCCCTGCCAGCATTTTTTTGGTTTTTTGTGTTTTTTGTTGTTTTTTCAGTCCCTGCCAGCGCTTCGTGTACCCAAGACGTTTTCTTATTGTTCTCCATTGTAAGGTTTTCTTATTGTTTTCCATTGTAAGGTTTTCTTATTGCTTTCCAGTTTAAGGTGTTCTTAGTGTTTTCCATTGTAAGGTTTTCTTATTGTCTTCCATTGTAAGGTTTTCTTATTGTTTTCCATAGTAAGGTTTTCTTATTGCTTTCCAGTGTAAGGTTTTCTTCTTGTTTCCCAATATAAGGTTTCCAGTATAAGGTTTCTCTCTATGAGTGGGCGGATCTCGGCGGAGGGCCCGAAACCTTTGATTTTTGTTTTTTTCAGTCCCTGTCAGCGTGTTTTTTGGTTTTTTCTTGGTTTGTTTTGATTGGTTCAGTTCCTGCCAGCGTTTCGTGTACCCAAGACGTTTTCTTATTGATTTCCATTGTAAGGTTTTCTTGTTGTTTTCCATTGTAAGGTTTTCTTAGTGTGTTTCATTGTAAGGTTTCTGATTGTTTTCCATTGTAAGGTTCTCTGCTTGCTTTCCATTGTAACGTTTTCTTATTTGTTTCCATTGAAATATTCCTTATCGTTGTTTGATTGTACTCGTTATTATTATTCTTGATTGTATGGATTTCTTATTGTTTTTGATTGTACGGTTTTCCTTGTGTTTTTGCAAACGTTCTTGCAATAGCATATGATCCACATCTACATCAACATATGAACGAACTTCTTCGTTTAAAGCTCTCGGGCTTGCATTTGTGAGGATGGGGTCCCCGTGGGGGGGGGGGGCTACCATATATATATATATATATATATATATATATATATATAGATATATGTATACATACACACGGCTATGTAGCCATGGCTTGTGTTATATCTCTATGTCGTTACATAACAGTTTTTAACAAAAAAACATATCGACATACACACATACATGCATGCATGCATACATACATACACAATAATACATGCATATAAACATACATGCATACGTGCATACATACATACATAGTTACAGACAGACAGACAGACAGACACATCGACAGTTAGACATGCATACACCCATACATACGTACACTCATGTGTACAGATGCGCGTATCTGCATACGTATACACATACATACATGCATGCATGCATGCATACATACATACATACATGCATGCATACATACATGCATAATACATACGTACATAAATGCATACGTGCGTGCGTGCGTGCGTGCCTGCGTGCGTGCGTGAACGCATGCATGCACGCATGCATGCATATTTGCATACACACGCACATGCATGCATACCTGCACACGTACATGCATACAAACAGCAAGGAATAAAGACATTCCTATAGACATGCGTACATGCATGCATTCGAAAGTACATGCCTGCATACGTACACCCATACATGCATACATGTATGCGAGCTTACATGTATAGATAGATAGATAGATATATAGAGAGATATGTAGATAGATAGCTATATAGATATGCATACGTGCATACCTATATACAAAAGGTCATACATGCATACATGCATGCATACAAGCATACATGCATACACACCTACATACGTGCATGCATGCATGCATACATATACCTACACCTACATACACACATACTTACATACATGCCTACATGCATACATACACACATGTATGCATATATAAATGCATACATACATGCATACGTACATTGTGGCTCACGTGCTTACGTACTTACTTACCTACATGCATTCCTCCTTCTCTCTCTCTCGCTCTCGCTCTCTCTCTCTCTTTCTATCACTCTCTTTTTTTCACCGCCTAGCCCCCACTGTTCCACTCTCCGCCCCTTCCTCCCTCCCCTCCCCCTTCCCTGTCCCCACCACTCCTCCCCCCCCCGCCCACCCCTCCCCCCCTGCCCCCGAGCCCGTAGACATGCATCCAGCGAGCAGCCCTGCGAGAGCGCAGCACCATGGATGGCATCAGCAGCAGCAGCAGGGCGGCCGCGGACACCTTCCATCGCTTTGCGGCAGGGCTGGAGCCAAACAGAGTGTTTCGTGTTCGTTTTGTTTTCGTGTTCCTTCGTTCTGTCCTCGTTCTGCCTAACGAGATCAGAACGAAAACGCCCCACGAAATCGCCAAAATACCGTTTAGCTCGAGCCCTGCTCCCTAGAAGAACAGAACGAAGCAGAGTCGGACTCTTCGTTTTGGTCGCCAGCCTCCCCGTATTCCTCCTCCCTCAGCGCCACCCTGCTGGGTGCTCAGCAGACGGGTGCGAGGCGAAGATTGATGCACAACCACCGACTACGAGATCTCCCCCCCAGGAGATGGTAGTGGATAGACCCACACCTCGGAACTAGAACTTCGATCGACGACCAATCTCGCAATGGAAGCGGCATCGTCCTGCCACTGTCGGGCATTCCCAAGGTGAGTACGGACAAAATGGGTATGATGCCCAACTGGACAGGTTGCCCAAATTCGACAGCGGCCGCTGCCGGGCAGGCAACACCTTGTATCAAGTGGACAACGTCCGCGGCGACACCGACGGCAAATCCTGCTCAAAATGGGCAAGAACTGCCGTGTGCCTTCGTCACCGCTGTTTAAACCAAAACGTCCGCTGACATGATGTCTTCCGTGCGCGGCCCCCAAGGGTCCCGACCGCGCCTCAGGGGCCCGTCTTGCCACCCCGCATCCATTTGACGGCCCCGGGGCCCGATGACGGGCCCCGGGGGCCACGATCGAGGAGAGCACGCCCGAGACTGGAAAAAAACAGCTCGCCAGAGATCCGGGAAACTTCCCTGCAGGTCGCAGCTCGCCCTCCTCCGCGCTGCCGCCGCACCCACCATTGGGCGCCCGTCGCGGTGGCGCTGCCCCCCACCCCCGCCCGGCGCTTCCCAAGGCGCCTTGCCGCCCGCGCCCGTGCTCGGCTGCGCGCGGCCATGGCCGCCCTCGTGGGGGGGGGGGGGGCGACGGGCGCCCCCTCCCGGCAGGAAAGGCGGGGAGCGGGGAGGGGGGGGGGAGGGGAGCGAGGAGGGGAGCGAGGAGGGGAGCGAGGAGGGGAGGGGGGCAGGACGAGGAGGGGGACGAGGAGGGAAGAAGGGAGCGCCCCCTCCCCACAGGAAGGGAGTGGAAGGGACGAGGAGCAGCAGCAGTCGTGACGATCACAGGTTCGCCACCTGACTGGGAGCGCCTAACGTACCACTCAGCTTTCCCCAAGGTGGCACGAGGAGGCACCAGGACGCGTCCCCTCCCGGCAAGAAGGGGGAGGGGGGGGCGAAAATGGGAGCGAGGAGGGGAACGAGGAGGGACGAGAACGGCCGAGGAGGGGAACAAGGGGGGAGGGGATTTGTCCTCCACTCAGGCCCAACATGTAGCGGTGAGAAACTGGAGCCTTGCCAGCTCCGTACAGCTGCCCCAAGAGGAGCCAATGAGCAAGAAACCCATCCTCATTCCCATGCTTGAGGTGTTTGCCTTGCTGGAATCGGCGCAATCCACCGCAGTGCTCGACACCGAAGAAGAAGGGAAGATAGTTGAAGCTGAAGAGGTTCTACTAGTACTGGTAGGGGTGGAGGAATTCGTAACTTCCTGCTTAGACTCCACGCGGGAGCCTTGGTCACAGCTCAGCATCACCACCTTGCGAGTCGACAGGCATGTCGACTCCACTGCCACTCTCTACGCCTGCTGCCGCTGCCGCTGCCGTCTGATCGGAGACGCTGGGCTTGCTCACTGGGCCTGCCGCGTCGCCACTTGCAGCGCCACCCGATGACGCGGGCCACCGCGGATGACGGTCTCAGGGGCAGCGAGCTTAGTTGTGGAGATCCTGTCGGCCTTCTCCTTCAGCAGCTCCTGGGACTCGGGTTTGTTGCCATGCACCTCTTTCTTGCTGTCCTCAGCGTCGACGCACCTGCGCTTCTTCAACATGCGAGCGCTCACCTCCTGCTCGATCTGCGCAACCTTCTCGAGCAAGGCCTTTACCTCGGAGCCCTTCGCCTCGAACTCCTTCTGGTAACCGGCGAGCTGGGACTTGAGTAGCCTGCGCTGCGTTTTGTCCTCCTCGTCGCACTCCCACTCCTCGAAACGATCGAAAACCTCACTGCTGACCGTCGGCTCAATTGCAGGGCTGTTACCCCCGCTCTCGTGGCTCTGGCTGGTCGCGCTGAACCCCTCGGCCTGCGCGAGAGCCTGGGCGGCCGTCTTCGTGGCCTCCGCCTGCGCGAGCACCAGAGCAGCAGCCTTCTCCTTGGACTCCGCGTTCTGAAGCTGCGTCATGAGCCGCAGCACCTGCGTGACCATCTGCCAGTGCTTGTGCGAGGCCGCCCTCCAGGCCTCATCCACGTGGCGGAAGGCCTCGGGCTTGGCGCTTTCCTGAGCGGCCCTCTCCGCGAGCTTCTGGCCCTGGACCTGCAGCACCTGCTTCATATCCTCGCTATCGGCGGCCTGCATCGCCTGGTCCAAAAACGCTGCCAGCTGCTGCTTGGCCGCCCTCTCCCTGCACGCCGTCCGGCGGGGGCTGCGACCACGGATCGCCTTACCCTTGCTGTCGTGTTCGATGTGCTCGACCTGCTTGTCGAAAGACACACGACGACTCCCAGGAGCTGGCAAGCGTGGCTGACAGAGCCGAACCTTTTTCCTGCAATTGCTGCACGCGCAGATCCTGCTCGCCAGCTTGTCGTTATACTCTGGCGCCTTGCAGGGCGCACACTTGCTCCATGGCCTGACTGAGCCCACTGCCATGGTGTACAGTGTGCGTGTGTGTGTGTGTGAACCCCGCTGTCGTCGACCCTCTGCCTGTGCACCAGCCAAGAGGGAAGGCACTCAAGCACCACTATGACGTACGGGGCTGACTCCTGCAAGATGCCTCCAGCCTAAATGGCTTGAGAGAGGAGGAGAAGGAGGAGGAGGAGGAAGGAGGAGGAGGAGGAAGAGGAGGAGGGAGGAGGAGGAAGAGGAGGAAGGCAGGACAGAGGAGGAGGAAGGAGGAGGAGGATGGAGGAGGGAGAGAGGAGATGAGAGGAGGAGGAGGCGGAAGAGGAGTGAAGAGGCGGGGAGGGATGAGGAGGAGGAGGAGGAGGAGGAGGAGGAGGAGGAAGACGAGGGGAGAGAGGAGGAGAAGGGAGGAGGAGGAGGAGGAGGAGGGAGGAGGGAGGAGTCGGGCTTTGGATCGGCTCGCGCAAGAACCTGGGGGCCAAATCACCAGGACGCCGGATGTCCTGGGACCGCCTGCTGCCACTCTGGAAGCTCGCCTCCAAAGCACATCAGGCTTCACGCACACACACACACACACACACACACAGACACACACACACACACACACACACACACA